TATTCATATGCTCTAATATGTGACCCTGGAGCACAAAAGCAGTGATAAGTAGCACAGGTATATTTGTAGCAATAGCCAACAATACATTGTATGGGTCAAAATTATCGATTTTTCTTTTATGCCAAAAATCATTAGGATGTTAAGTAAAGATAATGTTCCATGAAGATATTTTGTACATTTCATACCGTAAATATATCAAAACGTAATTTTTTATTAGTAATATGCATGGCTAAGGACTTCATTTAGACAACTTTAAAGGCGATTTTCTCAATATTTTGATTTTTTTTTTTTTGCACCCTCAGATTCCAGATCTTCAAATAGTTGTATCTCGGCCAAATATTGTCCAAACCAACCATGCATCAATAGAAAGCTTATTTATTCAGGTTTCAGATGATAATCTCAATGTCAAAAAATTGACCCTTATGACTGGTTTTGTGGTCCAGGGTCACATTTATCATTTACTTTCTTTACTTTCTCTATGTTTTTGCATTGAGAGGAACAAAGTAAGACTGGTTTAACAGCATAAAATGGCATTTTCAGCAAACAATTATCAATTTACCCCAGGGCTCTACAAGGAAAACACAATTATAAGAGAAGTTCAGAATGATTAGAAAGGGTTTATTCTCAGCAGGAAACAAGCAAACTCTATATAAGTGCATCGTTCGTATTAATTTAAAAAACTATAGACCACCAGGAGCTTTGCCGTATTTAAATGCCTCTAATTTCTTTTCCCGGTAATTCTATTTACTCAAATAAACAAACTCTGCTCTGGTGATAGACTTGCACCTCTCCTTGATGGTAACAAAAGCACTAATGCCATTTGCTTTCCTTTCTTGTCTAATTATCCGTATTGTGCTTCCCCTTCTCATCTCTTTGAATTTAACAAACAAAGTCACTTTGAAATGAGCAAACTGAAGCGAGGGTGGCTGTATTTGCTTGTAATGGGACTAACAAGCTGTCTGAAACTGGCAAGTGTGATTTAAATGCAAAGTGTGTAGCTGGTCTGTTCTCAGCCTGTTGCATAGGAACGATAGCCTATTACAACCAGACTGCCTTACTTTTCTTAATCAACGGCTTCCCACTCTGTTGTGAGTCACTGAGTGGACGGAAGAGGTCTGGACTCATGGACACAACACACAATGTGTGCTGACAGATCATGAGCAGTGGGCTATATTTTCTGAAGAAAAGCTGTTCTGGGTGATTGATTTCTGTCCCAAATCAAAAGAGTTGGCTCCTGAATCTCTATGAGTGACGCACCGAAGTTCAACGTTGGTCAGAGATCCATCAAGTGTAATAAATAAGGATGCTCGTCTTATAACAAACTCCACTAATAACAAAAGAAAAATGTCCTAAATTAAGTATATTGCCTTTACAGGTTTACTGACCTTTGATTCTACTAACTTTTGGTTTGTCATTGAGATTTACAAGCTGTGTGCATGTGCTTATGTGCCATTTTTGAACATGAGGAGTTTTGTAACAAAGCACTTCTGCCATCTACTGGTTCCTTTTTCTGTGTTCATGAAGATATTGATATGGTAAGTCACTTAAAGGTGCAGTGTGTAGGATTGACACCGAGTGGTTAAACTAGGTATTGCAGTCCAAATTCAAAATATTGGAGCGGGTTGTTTTCACCCGGCCCCTCCTCCTCAGACTTGACGCACACACAGGTTGCCAGATTGACGACACCAACAGGAACAAGCGCACTTGACGATGAATGGAATGAAATATGCTGTGTTTCCCGCCAACTGGCAACCCGGGGTGCCGAAATACAATTGGTTAAACTGGCAGTGGGCGGAGTCACACAGACCAAAACAGAGACCGACATTCCGTCCCTAAGCGCACATTTTCAAAGAGCAACAAACGTTTTTGTTCATATATATAAAAATTTTTGCTCTTGAATACTGTTTGTGTGAGCGTAAATGTGTATACCTAGCATATTTTGGGGACAAATTTATACCCAGAAGTGAGCTAAAACTGACAAAACCTCTCTTTTGAGGATGTCCCCATTTGTAAAAACCGAATGAAATAAATAAATAAACAAATAATAGTTTTAATAATAGTTTTCATTCATTTTTTTTAAATCTAAATGTCACAATTTAAATGGTTAAATAAATGTACGCGAAAACAAATTATAATCACCACTAATTACCATAATTACCCATTTTAACACTTTTAAACAGTAAACAAAGACATAGTCTGTGTCTACATGTAAACTTGCATCAAATTATTTAGCTAAAAATAACAAGGTTGATACAATGGTTAAAACTGTATGGAAAATATAAGTAATAAAAATATTAATAATTAACCAGTGCTATTTTAGTATTATTTAGATGCTATTTGTTAGTATTTTGAATTTATTTCTATATTTTCAGTGTTCATTTCTGTGCTTTAAAATGTGTTATGCGCTTATTATTTATCTATTTATGTACGTACATATGTTTATGTAATCTATTTATGTTTGCCAAAGCAACATTTGTAATTTTTTCAAGTTTACATTTTTTATTTTATCTTACTGCAGCTTTATTTTAATGAATGAAAATGGTGGCAACACTTATTTTAAGGTGTCCTTGTTATACGTTACATGTATTTACTATTATAATAACAATTAATTATGCATAATTACATGCAAGTAACCCTAAACCTAACCCTAATCCTAACCCTAACCATATAGTAAGTGCATGTAGTTAATTAATATTACTCAGTACTTAAATGTATAATTACACTGTAACAAGGACACCTTAAAATAAAGTGTAACCAAAATGTTTTTAATAGTTCAAGTTAACATTAACAACAGTAATTAACAATAACTAGTAAATGTATTAAAATAGTTGAAAACCTGACATAAATAGTAAAATAGTTACATTTGGCTAATGTAACTGCATCTTAAGTGACTGAATTGAGCCAAATGTTTGCTATTTCCTCAGATAACATTATGAATATGGCCAATGTCAGTGTGTTCATATGTGGCGTGGAGGCAGGGTTAGGGGATGTTGACAGGGAAATACCTGAGCTGAGGTCTGAGACCCCCTACAGACAAGGGGGTGGTCAAGAGAAGTAAAAGAAACATATGGCCTCTCACAGAATGAATAGGCTACTTGTTCAGAAACACCTATTCATTTTTTCAGTTTATATAACTATAGACTGTCATTAAAAAGTCTTAAAAATCTGAAATAACTTCCACAAGAGTTCCGCAAGTCTTTTCTTTAACCCTGAGCATTTAAAAGCATTTAAAATATATATTTTGCCCTCTATATATGTCTGTCCAAGAAAATGTATTCACGTGTCACATTTGGAGAAAAACTTGATTTGTTGAAAATTTGAACACGTGTGAACATATAACACATTTGAATAAACTTCAGCAAGGAACATAATTTAAAATGCTCCATATAAAAATATTAAACATTATTAAATCATTATAAATTTTGATCTCTAGTAGGCCATCCAGATTTGTATTTAGCCTAAATATAGGCTATACTCTTAAGACTGGAAATGTATTTTCTTGCCCCTGAGATACATTTAGAAATATATTTTAGTATATGAAAGTTGAAACTAAATATATTTTCTATTTCAAAAATATATTTTATTTAGCTTCACTGTTTGCAACATATATTTAGCGCATAATTAAAATGTATGTTG